TCTAGTCTTTCTTGCGCTTCTTTGGCTTTGGCTTCTTGTTGTCGTCTGGCTCTTCCCCGTCCTTGCAGCTGTCCAGGCAGTACTCGGCACACACGGCACAGAAGTCCAGCTGCCACTGAGCGTAGTGCCATCGCCATCCTTCAAAGGTCTTCTTGCAAGAGCTGCAGTCATATTGGTAGTAGCCAGGCAAGCAGTACTTCCAGTCGATCGTGTGGTTGCGCTTCTTGTGACCTCTGCCCTCAGGGCCAGAATCATCTTCGCTTGCAGCGCACAGTTGACTGGGCGCAGCACCTGCTGAGTCATCGCGCTGTCGGCGCTGCCCTGACTTCCCAGCATCTGTTGTGTCGGTGCTGCCGAGCTTGTTCCTGTGCCCACTCCTGTCTGTCGTAACCTTTCGAGCTCCTTGACTGCCGCTGCCCCGATCCTCTTCTTTTCTTTTGCCTTCTCTTTTCGGAGCTGCTTCTTGTCCTTCTTGTCCTTCTCGGCTGTCTTCTTCTCGTCGGCGATCCGCTTTCGGCAGTTTGCGCTGCGGTGGCCCTTCTTGTGGCAGTAGTTGCACTCGATCTCGGCGTCGGGATTCGGTGGCTTCTCCTTGCCTTTGCCGTCTTTCCCTTTGCCGCGGCCTTTCCACGGTCTCTTTCCGCCCTTCAGCGCTCCGATCTCCATCGGGTCGTCCTGAACCGCTCGCTCTGCCGTCAACGCCGACACTACCTCGGCTCTCAGAAGCTCGTACGTACTTAACCGACTGCTGTTCCGAAACACGTGTTTCTGCAGCTCGTCGTGATCCTTCAGCGCCTTTGTAAGGATGCCGCGCTTGATCAGGTCCGAGACGGGCTCTCCTGCCATCTTCTGGTACCTCGCCATGTCCTCGTCCAGCTTGCTGATGCTCACCATCACGTCTTCCTTGGCGTCGAACTTCGTGTCCGTGAGCTTGGTCCACATCGCCAGCACGTTGCCTGCCTCGCTCGGGTTGTACTCCTTCTGAAGCTTCCTCCAACACTCGGCTCCTTCTCCTACTGGGCTGTTCCTCACGATCAGCTCGCCTACCGAGTCCTCGGGCATGGCCAGGACCAGGCCGTAGTACAACTGCGTGCTGAGTTCTTCCTCCTGCGGGTCCAGGTTGACGTTGTCCACCTCCTGGGCTCCGTCCTCGCACCTTTCCAGAAGATCTCGGTACCTCCGATCCTGGGCGATCAGGTACGCTCTGTACTGGAAGCTGAACGTCTTCCAGCTCGACCTTTGGCCGTCGAACGGCTTCACCTTGTGAAGGATCTTCGGATCCATCATCTCGCCGCGCGGGGCTACCCGCTGCTGCTGAGCCTGCTGCTGACCTTGAAGCTGTCCTCTCATCTCTGCGATCGCCACGTCCCTGTTCTGAAGCTCCTGCCTCATGTTCTGACTCTCCGTCGTCAGCCTCTGAACTTGATCGACCAGTTGCTGCAGCTGCTGCTCCATCTTGGTCGGCGAGCACGTCAATGACACGCTTCTCCAGCCTCTCGATGTCGCTCGCCAGCTGCCTCTTCACCGCTGCTCGCTCCTCCTGAGTGAGCTGCGCCGCGTTGCCGCACGCCGCAAGCTTCCTAAAGGCGCTCCCTCGGTCCTGGCGGTGCTGGCGCGTGTCCGCCGCTCTGCCTCCTCGCTTGTTCGGCTTCTTGACCTTCAGCGTGGCCTTGCCCTTGCCCTTGTTGGCTGGCTGGCCTCCACTGCCAGAGCGCGGGTCTGCCCGCAGCTCTGACCCGCAAGGGGTACTTCGCTCGGCGGCCGCGCGGATCGTCCCGCCGGCTGCTGGACCCGCGGCGCCGCGCCGCTGGGCCCTCTCGAGGGGCTCCTGGAGCTCGCCTGGGTGCGGAGCGGCCCGCGAACCTCAAGCGAGCTCCGCTACCATGCACGCGCACCCACCCCCCCTCGCGGAGAAAGGGGGAGGTGAGGGTCGCTCTTTTTCTCGAGCAACAAAGGGCTGCAGGATTTCCTGGATCCTCCAGGACAGTCTGATTATATTTTCTATACTCACATATATGTGTAAAACTACAAACTTCCTAGCAGTTGACGCGCCAACTGCCACGACAAAGGCTCCCGCCTGATGCATCCTCGCACTTTCCTCTGAAACGCCCTGGCCAGCCAGGCCCCTAAACTCAGGAGCGGCGCTCTACCCCGAGAACTACTCCACTTCAAACAAATCGGTGAAGGCCCAAATGAGACGACAACGGCCCCCGCTCGAGACGTATTTTCTTCCAAATTGTTCCGATCCGCCCTGTCCAAAGAAGCCCCCGAACTCAGGAACGGACTTTTCGCTCGACACTCTTTCGAAACTCACTCCTGCTGGTGAAGGCTCAGCTGCGACGATATCGGCTCCCGCTCGATGCATTCCCACACTTGATTTCGGGACGCCCGGGCCAGAGAGACCCTTTGACACAGGAGCCTCGCTCGAGACTTCCACGCAATTCAATCACGTTGGTAAAGGCCCAGCTGCGACGACAACGGCTCCCGCTCGATACTTCCTCACAGCTTGCTCGGAGACGCTCTGGCCAGAGAGGCCCCGAAACTGAGGAACGGCGCTCTCGCCCGACACTTCCTCGGAGTTCGGCCAAATTCGTTGTAGCTGCCCACCTGCGACGACAACGGCTCCCGCCCGCTGGATAATTCCTTGCAGTTTATTCCGATGCGCCTTGGCCAGAGCCTTGGGAGGAGGAGGGGGAGGAGGGGGAGGAGGGGGAGGAGGGAGGAGGAGGAGGAGGAGGAGGAGGAGGAGGACGAGGAGGAGGAGGAGGTCGAGGAGGAGGAGGAGGAGGAGGAGAAGGATGAGGAGCGATAATTCCTTGCAGCCTATTCCGATGCGCCTTGGCCAGAGGGGGTCCCGCGCGGCGCGCGCGCAGAGCGCGCTGCGGAATGCTTCTCCCAGGGGCTGGCATCCTCCTTCGCCTCCCTCCTCCCTCCTCCCTCTCCCTCCTCCTCCTCCTCCTCCTCCTCCTCCTCCTCCTCCTCCTCCTTTCCTCCTCCTCCCCCTCCTCGCACGTAGCTCGGTCGATGTCCCCTCCTAAAACGGGCTCGTTCATAGACGCAGCGGGCGGGGGCAAGGTAGAGGGAGAAACAGAGGAAGGTCCAAGTGCGACTGGGATCGCGTGTTCGCAAGATGATCGCCGGTGTTGTTGTCGTCGTCTGCGGCGTCGTCATCGTCGTCGTCGTCCCTCCTCCTTCGCCTCCCTCCTCCCTCCTCCCTCCTCCCTCCTCCCTCCTCCTCCTCCTCCTCCTCCTCCTCCTCCTCCTCCTCCTCCTCCTCCTCCTCCTCCTCCCCCTCCTCGCACGTAGCTCGGCCGATGTCCCCTTAGTCACCGCCTATCTCTGCCTGCTGCAATAATTGCTCACGCGCAGAGCGTGCCAAACAGACCAGATGCATGTGCCATTCATGGCGACGTGCATTGTACATCTAATGTGCAATAATCATGCGCTGACGCGCCAAGTCACGCTCGCCACCCGAGAGACTCAGAGCAAGACCAAAAGGCTCATCAAGATGGAAGGACACGGGGCGTTCGGGAAACCAGGCGGCAATAATGGCGCCCAACAAGGTAGGGCAGCGCGCATAGTGGGCCTGTGAATTAGTCGCGCTCTCATGCGCGGAACCAAAACACACACAGGCGGGCAACGTGGCTCATCCTCATTTCCGTCCACCCCACCAGCATGCGAACCACTAACATCTGCCGGGCAGGCGAAACAGACAGCAAGCGCGCCTTGAGGCTGGCCCAACGTATTCCTCGGAGTGCCTGGGACGAAGGTGGTCGAACCGTCCACGTGGCGACTCGCTTCCGAATCGTGGCCTCCAGCTCATCTAGAAAAAGGTTGGCCCCCAAGGACCTCGAACAAAAAACACGCTGAGTTTGGATCCTCGGGTTTTCTTTCTGTCCCTCGGCGACAGCTTTACAAACCTTGCGGACAGGCTCCCTCATAACATCCGACTCCCTCGAGCCCTGGGAAGCATGAGAGAGATCCTCGACGAAGGCACGCCGCTTCCAGAAGCTGGGGGGGCACTTCCTTCCACACCATAAAGTCATGGGCAAGAAACGCCGAGCGTTGGCCTGCAAGCGCAGCCAAGTGGAGCAGCTGCTGGTGACGCTCACGGCTTTCATCCTTGTGCATCTCTGCGCCGCAGTCGAGACCCGGCTCCTTGTGATGCAGGCCTGCTGCGTGGGCACCTGCGCGCTAGGCGGTGTAGAAGTCTTCAGGTACTTGGGCGCCTTTGGCGCCAGAGGCTCGAATCACGAGATGATGAACTTTTGTTTGACGTCGCAGCGCGGCGTAGGCGATCCGTACGCGCGCTTGAATAGGCTGGGATCGGGCACGAACTGATTGTTCGACTGCACGAGGGGAGAAGAAGACGGAGGGCGGCCGCGGAAGGCGGGCGAAAGAGGGAGGGCACTCACTGCAAGTAGAACTTCGTCAAGAGCGGCTGGCGCGCGGGGGTGATGATCAGGAAGCCATTGAGAAGTACCGTCCCGCTCAATCGGTGGCCGCGCAGGCCCTGGCCCAGGGTCCCATGGCCTCGGGCCGCCACAGGGAGGATTTGTGCATCAGGAAAGGAGGAGGTGGAGGAGGAGGAGGAGGAGGAGGAGCAGAAGAAGGAGGAGGAGAATGAGGATGAGGAGGAGGAGGAGGAGGAGGAGGAGGAGAATAAGGAGGAGGAGGAGGAGGAGAATGAGGAGGAGGAGGAAGAGGACGAGGAGGAGGAGGAGGCTGAGGAGCGGGAGCTTTTGACGGGTGTTAAGAGCAGCCTCGCGGATGTGGAGTCCGCCTGGAGGAGAGTTGCCTGTCCTGAGGACCAGGTGTAATTCCTCGAGCTTTGAACCTCCAACATCGTCCTCCTCGTCCTCATCCCCTTCTAATCTCCTCCTGCTCATCGTCCTCCTCCCTCACCTCCTTCCCCTCCCCGGCCCTCCCCCTCCTCCTCGTCCTCCCTATCCTCCCTCGAGAAAGGATGCTGGACCTAGGTGCGGCAAGGCATCCGGGGCCTCAGCGGCGAACATCCTGGCCTGGTCTTGGGCCTCCCGCAACCAGGCCGGCGAGGAGAGGTCCGAGGGCGAGGAGGATAGCAGAGACAGCTGAAAGAGATGGGTTTTCGGTGGCAGCGGCGAACGTGGTGTTGGGGGGAGGAAGGGAGATCTGTTTGTCTGTCTGTCTGTCTGTGTGTCTGCCTGTCTGTCTGTCATTAGGTTCGTCTGTCTGTCTCTCTGTCTGTATGCATGTATGTACGCACGTACGTATGTATGTTTGTACGTACGTACGTATGTATACATACATGTTTGTGTATGCATTGTTCAACTAGCTTTATAGGTCTGGGTGTATATCTGTAGGTGTGCATGCATGAATCTATGTATGCGTGTACGTGTGTAGCCATGTATGTGTGTATGCGTTTTTCTACACATGCATGTATGCATGAATGCATGTATGTCTGTCTGTCTGTCCGTCCGTCCGTATGTATGTGTGTATGCATGTAACTGTAGATGTAGACAACGAGAGAGAGAGAGAGAGAAGTAGAGAAAATGTTATCAACACATCGCAATTGACATACGGAGAGACATAGAGAGACTGAAAGAGCGAGGGAGAAATAGAGAGAGAGAGAGAGAGAGCGAGGCAGACAGACAGAGAGAGAGAGAGAGAGATCGGATAGAGATAACGAGAGAGAGAGAGATATCAGCAAAAACAGCGGGAGAGTGAGAGAGAGAGGGAAGAGGGAGAGATCCAGCTATAGATATAGAGATACAGAGAGGGAGAGAGAGAGAGAGAGAAAGAGAGAGAGATAGATAGGCAGAAAGATAGATAGAGAGAGAGAGAGAACGAAACGAACTACCTAAGGAGCAGGGCAGGCGGGGTTGGGCGGAAGGACCTCGCTAGAAAGACGAGGGCGAAAGAGAAGAGGTGTGCACGAGGGGGAGCTGGCGAGGTGGACGAGGAGGAGGCATTTGGAAGCCAGGCAATGCAATTCTTTTTTCCGTTGTCGGGGCAGAGGTGCCAGTCATTCCGAGACGCAGTCGGGGTTTGGGAAATGCCCATTGGAGGGGGGGAGACTTTCAACGATGAGTTATCGCAGAACGGAGGCGAAGTATCGATTCGGATAAGCACTTACGCATCATCGTCCCGTGCCTAGATCGCATCATGCCGTGCCCATCGCCACCAAACCACCATCCGTGCAACATCCACCCGAATGCCTGACAGTAGTGCCCACGGCGTCGGTTCTTTAACACCGTATACAGCGATCTGAATACCACTTAGGAACGTCTATCCCGCGGCGTTGAGGCGAGAACGCGATTGCGAACGTCACCTGCGACGCATGGTCGCGACTGTTTTGTACGTGCCAAATATCCGATATCGTGGATAGAGCTCGATCCACCGTCGATGATCAGAAATCAGGGCCACCCCCAAACTCCTCCGCCTCTCCCCTCCCCACAGAAACGAGGGCGTCCAAACCCTCCTCCCCGCAGTCCCCCGGGAAAACCACTAGGGGGGGTCCAGAACCCCCCAACCCCCTAGAAAATGATGTGTGTGCGTGTGTGTGTGTGTGTGTGTGTGGGGTAATCCCAAATTCCCTCATTCATCGTGGCAACGACGACGCCGCCGACGAAGGCGACGACGTCAGCGGCGGCGCACCTGTCGCCGGCGCCCGCGACAGGCGCCAGTTCTAATAGAATGCTATCAGGGCTCGGTCCAGCTGTCTCAAAGTCCTATTACTATTCGATCCAGACATGAGTAAATCCTGCTGTTGGAGCGGGTCCAATTCTCATCAAATCTGGTTACGGTTCGACCAATCTCAAAGGGAACCCGACAAACGCTCGATCCAGCTTGAATCGAATCCTACTGGGGCTGGGTCCAGCTCCACTGGATCCAGCTTTAATGGGTTCCTACTAGGGCTCGATCCAGCTTGGATGCAGTCCTGCGGGGGCTCGGCCCAGCCCTGATGGACTCCCACGCAGGCTCGATACAGCCTTATCTAATACAATCTCACCTAAGACAATCTCACCAGGGGTCGATCCAGCTCTAGCGACATCCCACTGGAAATGGATCTAGCTCGAAAGAAACCTGTACTGGATCGAGCTCTATTCGAACCCTATTAGGGCTCAGTCCAGCTCTCGCAGAATCCTGCTACGGCGCGATCACGCTTGAACAATATCCTTCTAAGGGTCGATCAAGCTCTTTGAAAATCCGACTAGGCTTCGTCCCCACTCGGATGGAGTATTACTCGGGCTCGATCCAATTCGAACATAATCCGATTAGGGCTGGATCCAACTTTAACGAAGTCTTAGAAACAAGGCTCGCTCTAGCTGTAGTCTAATCGTGTCAAGACTCAGACAAGCCTTAAAACTCAGCTTTGATCGAATCTTGATAAAGCTCGATCCCGCTCTAGCTCCCAAGATCCCACTGAGGCTGGATCTAGCTTTACAACAATTCTTGCAGGACTGGATGCGGCTGTAATCGAACCCTATCAGGGCTCGATCCAGTTCTTACATAACCTTGCTAGGGCTCCATCCAGCTTGAATAACATCCCCTCTAAACGCCGAACCAGCCTTGTGAGAAATCTACTAAGTTTCGACCCAGCTCGGATGTAATCCTACTAGAGCTCTATCCCACTCTAGCATAATCCTACAATGGTTGGATCCAGCTCTCATGGCGTCCGACTAAGGACCGATCCTCCTCCAATCGGGCCCAACCGAGGCTGAATGCCACTTGACTTCAATCCTATTAGATTTGGGTCCAGCTTTCATGAAGTCTGGTTACAGCTAGATCCAACAGTAAGGCAACATCTCTACGGACTTGCATCCAGCTTCGACAGAAACCTGCTAAGTCTCGATCCAGCTCTGATGGTCCTACTAGGTTTGGATCCAGCTCTATACAATCCAAGGAGGGTTCGTTCCAGCTTCAATGGAATCCTAGCAGGGATCGGTCCATCTGTCATCGCATCCCTCTAAGGCTCGATTGTCGTAGTCGTCGTCGTCGACGGCGTCGTCGTCCCTTTTTGTCGTCGTTGTCCGCGTCGTTTGCTGGCGGCGGCAAAGTCGTCGTCGTCGTCGTCGCGGGGGGGGGGGTTCTGGACCCCTCGAATGATTTTCCCCAGAAGGACCCCCCCCCGAATAATTTTCCAATGAACAGGGGGCCGGGATCCGAACCTCCCCCCTCCCCTGGTTTGAGGGGGGGCTGCCAACAGCGGCAAAAAACGCTCTTTCATATAGTGTGATATTCGTGGCTTTGGTGTACGAACTTCTGAGGGCCGCCCGCTCGGAACGGCCAAACCGCTCTAACGGCACGTCGGATCTGCACTTGTGCGCGTCCGTGAATGCGGGGACAGCAGACGACAACAACCATATCGAATTCTCACCCTCGGGGGATGTCTGGCGCATGCCAACCATCGTCAGACCACCGAAACCAACATCGTACTGGTTGTGGTCGATGCGGGCGGGCGTCGGGCGTCCTATGACGGCCAAGCCGGCCACAACAACAACCAAAGTGAGGGGCTTTTCCAAACACTATACTTCGTTATGGTTGTGGTTCTTTGTTGCGCCCGGATTAAAACACGTTGAGCCTGCTGCAATATCTGTCAGATGTACTCCCCCGTAGCGGGCCGCACAACCATCGCGCACAATCAACCATTCGCAACAAGGAATCACCTTGGGTAAGAATCGAATCCCCCTTCGGGCCTCACGGGCGACCCGGTGCGCGAGGAACGCTGGGGAGAGATCCGCGGAAAGACCTCCAGAGTGGGCCCCATCCCAAGGATCTGACCGTTCACACGGGTCGCCCAGCGATAGTGGAACAAAAAACGGCACAAACATAATTCCTCGGAGGTCCGCACGGATTTCTTGGATCTGCGCTGAAAATCCCTCCCTGGCGCGCGGAGCGCGAAGAGGGCACGCCGCCAGGTGGTGCCCAGCGCCGATCCGAGAAATCCGCGCGGAGTTTCGCAAGCTCATGTTCATGCTGCTCTTTCTTTTTCGAAACCTGGCCGTACCAATGCCGGCCTCGCGTAGCTCTGCGTCTGCCACCGCCTCGCGCTCGCTTGCGGCGGCGAGGAGGCGCTCCGAGCGGAGGAGCTGCGAACGCAGCTCCGCCTCTGCCGCGTCCTCGCCGCGCCGCCAGGGAAGGAAAGGGTGGTGGGGCGGACAGGGACGGGCCCAAGATGGCCAACGGGAACGGGAAGGGAAATGGGAGGGAAAGGATGCCCTTTTTCCCCTCCCATTCTCTCTCCGCTCCCTTCGGCCTTTCCACCTTTTTTTCCCCTTCCCTCCCCTCCCCCTCCATTTCCCCTCCCTCTCCCTCCCCCCTCCCCCCCTCCAAGAGGGGGAGGGGAGGGCACGGGGGCGGGGCGGGAAGGAGTGCGCAGCAGGATCGGGAAGGATGCGGACTTGATCTGGCACGTCGTCCCCCCCCTGGGCCGCGGCAAGAGGGAGAGCAGGAGAGGAAGGGGAGGGAGCAGGGAGGAGGGAGGAAGGGATGGGGAGCGGGAGGGAAAAAATACGACACGACTGTGGGCCCGCATCTCCCCCAGCTCGCATGATGCACGGCGGGATTGGAAACTGGGCCCGGGGGACACGCGCACCGACGTGTAGGGTGCGAGCGAACGAGACCCAGACAGGGAGGGACCAATACCAGGCAAGAACCACGCCCCTCGCCTGGGCGCCCGACGCGACGGAGCCCGAAGGCCAGGGCCGTACTGCTGGGACCTCGGCAAGCGACGGGGCCCCAGCGAGGTCGTGAAAACTCAAACACAGACCCCGAGGCCCCGAAGGAGAAGGGGATGAGGCGTGGACAAAGCTGGAGAAGGGCCTCGGGAAACCAGACGGATGCCATAAGCACTCGCGGGGGCCAACCGCGGACTGCGTCAGCAGTAGAGGTGACAAATGCAGAATTTAAAACAAGAGGCAGCTGCGGGAGTCGAGCCTGTCAACGCCGCCGAAGTCAAGACCCCGACGCAGTTCAGCAGCCAATAACAACCATCGGGGAGGAATCAACAATAATCGTGTGACCGAAACCGACGGACCTGGACCCGCAATAATGACGACCGTGACACCCTCTCGCAAACCGAAAACGGCCAGTTCCTTCATCGACGCGTCAGCGTAGGAGGTCTGTCAGCCTCCGAAACAATCCGGACCTGAGATCTCCACGGTGCAGTCCACATCCGAGAGGGCGGCACAACACAGCCACACACGCACCCTACACTCAGCCAGCGCCGCCCCTCCCTTGCGTCCGCCACGAGTCGGATGCTGTCCTCCACGGCCCCTGGAGGCGCCGCGCCCCGAGCCCTGCGGCCTCCGACCTCGACCAGTGCCCTGTGCAGAAGCGAGCGCGCTTGAACTGGCGAAGGCAACTAGCGAGGCCCGTCCTCCTCCTCCTCCTCCTCCTCCTCCTCCTCCTCCTCCTCGTCCTCCTCCTCCTCCTCCTCCTCCTCCTCCTCCTCCTCCGGGCGGCGGGGCCGGAGCCGGAAGATCCACCAACATAAGGTGGACCTTCCGCTGGCTGTGGTCGTAGCACTTCATGGCTCGAGACAGACGTCGCATGTCGTGCAGGTCCTCGTGCTGAAGCTCGCACCACACCTTCTCGCACCACAGCTTCAGGACGGCCGAAGTCCTCTGGCCTCGGGAGTCCACGCTCCAGCATTCTGGCGACGAGCGAATTGAAGCTATATAGGGCAAGGATGCCTACTTGGTGGCATGCGCCCTTGGCCTTCACCTCCTGAGAATACGTCACCCTATGCGTCGTAGGCGGTCGTCACATCTGGGCAATCCGCGGACAGGAAGTACATGTCCACTCCCGCCGCCCAGAGATCCCTGACCATCTGCGTTGTCATGCGTAATTGTTTCATGATCACGTTGAACAGCGCGGCCTGCTTCTTCCTGCTTCTTGTGGAAGCCCGTGTCCTTGACCTTGCCGAGGTGACGGTTGCGGTTCTTCTTGTCGCCTGGGGCGCCAGCCGCGGCGTCTCCCGAAGAGGCGGCCCCGCTCGAAGGAGGATATCCCCCTGCCTTGTTGGAAGGGGGGGGGGCGCCTGGCTTGCCCTTAGCGACTGCGGGGGCGTCCTCAGCCTCGGCTGCGGACGCTGGCCTCTTAGGCAGCGCCCACGTGGGCGTCGACATGGCCCCGCGCAGGCACGCAAGGTAAGTGTTGAGGGACAGTGGAGGAGGGGAAGGGGAGGGAGAGGAGCAGAAGGAGGGGAGGGAGAGGAGCGGAGGGCGGGGAGGGCGAGGGGAGGGAGAGGGGAGAGGAGGGCGGACGAGGGCAAGGGTGAAGGGTTGAGGCTGGAGGGGGAGGGAGGGGATGGACAAGCGAGAAGGGATGGGTGCGTCCCATCCCTTTCTGCTCAGTGCCGCATAGTCTCTCTCCCTGTCACTCTCAATCCTCCCTTGTTTCCCCAATCCCATTTCCTCAATCCCCTCCTCACTCTCTCCATTCTTCATTCCTCACCCACCGTACTCCATCAGCCATCCTCCACCTTGCTTCCTCCACACTTCACCTCGCTTCTATATACTTGTAGGCCTAGATCAGGACTCTGACCAATTCGATACGCGAATGCCTCCACAAATCACGCTGCCCCATCAAAAACGAGCGCCTCGTCTGTAACGGACGAAACTGTGTCACTATTGACGCCACTGCTGATTGCAACGGGAGCACGAATGCATCATTCATCCTCCCCCACGCTCTTTCCGCCCCGATCGTCCCCCCCGACCTCCCCTCTTTCCTCCATCCTTGCTTGCCCTCCGCTCCACGCACCTCCCTCATCACAGCGAGAAAGAGCGAGTGCCCAATCCCCCCATCGCGTCCTCATCGGCCTCCTCTGTGGCGGCGGCATCGGCGGCGGCATTGACTTGCCGCAGCTTGGCCTCCCGAGGGCTCGGGTGTGCGCGTGCGTGTGTGTGTGTGTGTGTGTGTGTGTGTGTGTGTGCGGGTGTGTGTTTATATATTCATGGGTGTGTGTTTGTGTGTGTGCGTGTGTGTGTGTGTGTGTGTGTGTGTGTGTGTGTGTGTGCGGTTTTTTTTTTGTGTGTGTGTGTGTGTTTGTGTGCGTGCGTGCGTGCGTGCGTGCGTGCGTGCGTGTGTGTGTGTGTGTGTGTGTGTGTGTGTGCGTGCGCGTGTGTTTGTGTGTGCGCGTGTGTGCGCGTGTGTTTGTGTGTGCGTGCGTGTGTGTGTGTGTGTATGTGTGTGTGTGTGTGTGTGCGGAGTGCGCGTGCGTGCGCGCGTGCCGGTGTGTGTGTGTGTGTGTGTGTGCGTGTGTCCGGGGTGCATAACGCTCGCTTGATGCGCCCCTTGCTGCCGCGCCTGAGCCTGCAACCTACCTGGGACTCCGCGGCTCTGGTTCATGCGCGGTCGCCACACGCGCGATTGCCATTTTACGCCATCGTGGCCCGTTCGCATCTGCCTGACTCTTGCTACAGCATCGCGGATGAGAGAAAGTGTCTGCATCATTTGATTAAAGAGAAAAGCGCCGAACCTTTTGGGAATGGACGAACGTTAGGAGGGCCAACACATTAGGGATAGGACTATTTTCTGCAAGTGTACTGAACCAAACCGACAATATTTCTTATCCCAAACGCAAAGACGGGGACCTCAGCGAGGCCACGTCTTCACTGTATTATTAGGGTTAGGGGTTCTTTTATTCTCGATGATGATTGTGCGAATTCAGCCAGGGATTGTTCCCAACCCTCCTGCGTTGGGTACTCGTTTTGAATACAGCACTGCGGTCTCCGTTCTCCTCCTCCCGCCCCCCCCCTCTCTTCCCTCCTCCTCTCCTCTCTTGCTTTCCTTCTCCTCCTCTCTTCGCTCCTCCTCTTCTCTTCTCTTCTCTTGCCTTTCACGTCATCCTTGGCGGGCTGCGATCTTGCCATTATTCCCTCCTCCTCCCTTCTCTTGCATCCCTTCTCCTCTCTTCGCTCTTCCTCTCCTCTCTTGCATATCTTCTCCTGTCTTCGCTGCTCCTCTCTTGCTCGTTTTCTCCTCTCCTCTCTTGCTTGCCTTCTCCTCCTCTCTTCGCTCCTCCTCTTCTCTTCTCTTCTCTTGCCCTTTACGTCATCTCTGGGGGGCTGCGATCTGCGGAACTGTCACCAGTTTCGAGGGCTGCTGGTGGGTCCAGCGGAATGAGGCACCACGGGGGCTCAGATTAGACCTCGCCATCCCTGGGGGGGGGCTGCGATCTGTGAAACTGTCGCCACTTTCGAGGGCTGCTGGTGGGTCCAGCGGAGTGAGGCACCACGGGGACTCAGATTAGACCTCGCCATCTCTGGGGGGGGCTACGATCTGTGAAACTGTCACCACTTTCGAGGGCTGCTGGTGGGTCCAGCGGAGTGAGGCACCACGGGGACTCAGATTAGACCTCGCCATCTCTGGGGGGCTGCGATCTGTGAAAGTGTCGCCACTTTCGAGGCTGCTGGTGGGTCCAGCGGAGTGAAGCACCACGGGGACCAGATTAGACCTCGCCATCTCTGGGGGGCTGCGATCTGTGAAACTGTCGCCACTTTCGAGGGTTGCTGGTGGGTCCAGCGGAGTGAGGCACCACGGGGACTCAGATTAGACCTCGCCATCCCTGGGGGGGGGCTGCGATCTGTGAAACTGTCGCCACTTTCGAGGGCTGCTGGTGGGTCCAGCGGAGTGAGGCACCACGGGGACTCAGATTAGACCTCGCCATCTCTGGGGGGCTGCGATCTGTGAAACTGTCGCCACTTTCGAGGGCTGCTGGTGGGTCCAGCGGAGTGAGGCACCACGGGGACTCATATTAGACCTCGCCATCTCTGGGGGGTTGCGATCTGTGAAACTGTCGCCACTTTCGAGGCTGCTGGTGGGTCCAGCGGAGTGAGGCACCACGGGGACTCAGATTAGACCTCGCCACCCCTGGGCGGCTGCGATCTGTGAAACTGTCGCCACTTTCGAGGGCTGCTGGTGGGTGGCCAGCGGAGTGAGGCACCACGGGGACTCAGATTCCTGACCACGAGCAATGCTCGCGTGCCCTTGCTCTGCGGTTCGTGCCATCGCTACCGTCCTTCGAGGTTGCCCATCGGGCCCTCTAACAAATATATTCACGCATACTGTCGGCCTGCAGCGCCGTACTGGTGGCTGAAGAAAGGCGCCTGCTCCGCGGTCTTAGCAGCGCGCGGGGCCGAGGCGTAATTGCCGACGCGCGCAAGCTTGCGCCTTCGCTAACCGCGCTTCCAAGTTGCCTGTCAGGCGCTCTATAACCACAGCCACCGCGGCATCGCGGAAATGGATTTCTGATGAAAGAGTTTCTCGCATGGGGAGAGGGATGGAGGGGAGGAGGAGGAGGAGGAACAGGGTGATGAGGTTGTCTCCAGCGCAGAGGTGGCCGGGCTCATGTGAGACAACCGCGCAGCTCTCCAAGAAGGCGCTGCCACCGCAAGAAAGAGCGAGCCGGCATGGCCCGCGGTGCTGGCGTCCGCTTGGAAAGCGGACACCCTCGCTTGAATTTCAATGTCAATTGGAGCAAAGTGTAGCTCAGAGGCGAGGTTGCCCATCGGGCCCTCTTATCATTCCACGTTCTTGACCGCGAGCAACGGTTGCGCGCCTTTGCTGCGCGGCGGGCGCCAGCGCCGTCTGGGAATGCGTCGAGGTAGCCCATCGGGCCCTCTGACAGCTACCAACCAGCTCTTCCTCTTGGGCCGCTTTCCTGAATGGCGTCGCTATCAGAAATTTGCACAATCTCGTTTCCCGTTGACTGAGAGCAACGTGGCCGACTTGCCAAATTCACCTCCTGAGTTACCATCCTGAAAGGCGACACTATTGCAAATTTGCAACAACTTGTTCCCGTTGATTGGTGGAAATGTTTGCGATAATTCAAAATCACCTCCTGTGTCTTACGTCGCCATTCTGAAGGGCGCCATTCTCGCATTTTTTTCCCAACCCTCCTTGGTTGGGTATTCGTTTTGAATAGAGCAGTGTGGTCGCGTCCCTTCTCCTCCCTTCCTCCTTTTCCCCTCCCGCCTCTTCCTGTCTTGCCCGCGGGGGGCTGCGACCTGTGAAACTGTCGCAATTTTCGAGCCCTGCTGGGGGGCCCAGCACAGTGAGGGCCACGGGCGGATCCAAATTAGACCTCGCCATCCCCGGGGGGCTGCGATCTGTGAAACTGTCGCCATTTTTGAGTCCTGCTGAGAGGCCAGCACAGCGAGGGCCACGGGCGGATTCAAATTAAACCTCGCCGTCCCTGGGGAGCTGCGATCTGTGAAACTTTCGCCACTTTCGAGGCCTGCTGGGGGGGCCCAGCACAGTGAGGGCCACTTGCGGATTCAAATTAGACCTCGCCATCCCTGGGGGGCTGCGATCTGTGAAACTGTCGCCATTTTCGAAGCCTGCTGGGGGGCCCAGCACAGTGAGGGCCACGCGCGGATTCAAATTAGACCTCGCCATCCCTGGGGGCTGCGATCTGTGAAACTGTCGCCATTTTCGAGGCCTGCTGGGGGGCCCAGCACAGTCTGTTCAAATTAGACCTCGCCATCCCTGGGGGGCTGCGATCTGTGAAACTGTCGCCATTTTCGAGGCCTGCTGGGGGGCCCAGCACAGTGAGGGCCACGCGCGGATTCAAATTAGACCTCGCCATCCCTGGGGGGCTGCGATCTGCGAAACTGTCGCCATTTTCGAAGCCTGCTGGGGGGCCCAGCACAGTGAGGGCCACGCGCGGATTCAAATTAGACCTCGCCATCCCTGGGGGGCTGCGATCTGTGAAACTGTCGCCATTTTCGAGGCCTGCCGGGGGGCCCAGCACAGTGAGGGCCGCGTGCGGATTCAAACTAGACCTCGCCATCCCTGGGGGGCTGCGATCTGTGAAACTGCCGCCATTTTCGAGCCCTGCTGGGGGGCCCAGCACAGTGAGGGCCACGCGCGGATTCAAATTAGACCTCGCCATCTCCGGGGGGCTGCGATATGAGATCCCCGCTCTCGAAATGGCTATGGTTGCTCAGAGATTCTAACTAATCAGCTTTATCGAGTCCTTGTCCTGTAGCCAGTGTCCTGCGAGTCTCCCGAATTCCGTCTGCAGACATATGTAACCCTCGCTCCGTCAGCACCCCCCTTATAAAGTGTCCTAAACTATTTGCGCCCCGCGTTTGCGCAGGGGTTGGGTACGTCGCCAGGGTAATTCAAAAACATGGCTTCGTTGACAGAGCATCACCGACGTTTTTTTGCACGTTCACTTCCTACGCCACCATTCTGAAGGGCGCCACCATCGCAAATGTTCAAAAACATGGTTGCGTTGACAGCACCACCGACGATTTTCATATTCACTTTTCACGTCACCATTTTGAAGGGCGCCACCATCGCAAATTTTCAGAAACATGTTTTCGTTGACAGAGCACCATCGTCATTTTTTCACAGTCAATTCTTACGTTGCCATTTTGGAAGGCACCACTATCGCAAATTTTCAGCAACAGGCTTCGCATTGACAGAGGGTTGCTAAGGACATCCGCGTTTGCGTTCGTATGTTTTTGTTGAGATTGGTGACGAATTTCGTTTTCCGGCTAGGGTTGCCCGCGTTCGCATACGTTCGTTTCGTTCACTGGTTTATACAAATTCTCATATGTTGCTAACAGCGTGTAGAAACAAATTGATTTACACACCTCCCCGATTTTGAGGCTGATTTGTGGGGTGCGTGTTGCCATTTGCTGTGTTTCTAAGGCGCTTCGGAAAACAACCCGGTTGGCTTGTTGCATTTGCGTTGCCCACGTGCTACTGATTTCTTGTACTCTTTTGAAACAGTAGTAAAGCATGCCGCCAAAGAACGTGCCATTGAGGCGCCACCGGGATTACTTTTGCGTTTCCCGGCTAGGGTTGTCCGCACACACCGAGATTCGTTTTGTATAAGGTGCAGGTTCGGCTAAACAGC